CGAGTGTCGCATTTACGTGGCAAACAACCTTAAAGAAATACTCACTGAAAGCTACAATTAAGAAAACCCAACTCAAATACAAATAATCAAAAAGTAAACTACAAATAATCACAATAGTCAGTTTGGTTTTAGAATTAGAAATCTTACCTCAGTCTTCAAATTTTAGAATTCGGAGCTTGAAAACTTTATAATCAAAAATCCACCAAGAAAAAACTAGGGAACCAAAGACTCTTGAATTCAAAATCAGAAATCGGGTTAGCGAAAAAAAACACAATATTCAAAAAGTAATGTTCAAAAATCATTAAACAAAGTTAAAATTATCATTTATTCATATTAGATTAGCAAAAAAATCACAAATATTTAGTTTGGTTTTAGAATTAGAAATCAAACCTTAGTCTTCAAATTTCAAAATTCAGAGCTTGAAAACTTCATAATCAGAAATCCACCAATAAAAAAGTAGGGAACCAAAGACTCTTGTATTCAAAATCAGAAATTGGGTTAACAAATAGCCGATAAAATTGATTACCTAATAGATATTAAATGATACTCCTTTTGCCAATGATTGACTTACAGGTCTTGGTCAAAAAATTGAAGAACGAAGAACATGATCGTTCTGTGTATCTATATATATATATATATATATATATATATATATATATATATATATATATATATATATATATATAACACTAAAAACCGAGAGAAGGGCGGCATAAGGTGGACGCTTGGTGTGGGTATCGACTATGATGGTGATGTTTTGTCGGTGAAGCCTTGGAGGGTTTTGGTGATGGCAAGATCCGATGATGATAAAAGTAGCATGGTGGCGTGCGTATGAGATGGTAAGATGATGAAGGTGTCGATTGTATGTTGTAGGAAATTAGGTCAACGAAATAGAGAGGAAGAGAGTAATTATAGGAGTTTACAAAATTAGGGTAATGTTTATTTACCTTAATACCCTTTATAATTTTCTTTAATTTAAATTTTAAATTTTAATTGTATTAATAATTAGAAAAATAACAATTAATTATAATCACACATCTTAAAAAATAGATGGTTCGGATCTGTTCTCACGTTCTCAACCTTTTAGGTTTTCTCATTTGATCTTATATATATATATATATATATATATATATATATATATATATATATATATATTATTTTAAAATGCAAAATAAAAGAAAAATCCAAAAAAAAAATTTAATTATTATTTTCGGAACTTTAATTAACTAAAATAATAAAAAAATTACCGTTTTTTTTTTTAAATAAGTAAAATATTCTAACAGAATATTACACTGTAAATATTCTAATGTGATTTTTAGAATGTTAGAATATTATACTAGATTTGTCAGATATTTAGAATATTATAATATTCTACTAAAATATGTAAAAAAATGTATTTTTTTTTAAATTTTTTTTGGAAAATATAAATTCCGAAAATAAAATTTTAAAAAAAAATTCGAAAAATTTCCATTGTTTTTAATTTTAAAATGGTTTTTTATCTACTAAATGAGTGGCTAAGATTGCGTCTCACATTCTCACAAAATTATATCGTCTCACATGAACATAATCCTATATATATATATATATATATATATATATATATATATATATATATATATATATATATATATATATATATATATATATATATATATAAAAGTTAGAATCCATTGAAACTATAAAGATTTGTCAAAACTCGATAACATTTTCCAAAACCATATTCTTGATTTTTCTTTTCAAATTTCTTTCACCGATCATTAAGACATTCATTAAGAGCTTAATTCATTGGATTTAAAAAAACATCTTTTTAAAAATATGCATATATGCATATCAATATTTGCATATTTTTGAAATATACCTTTTAAAAAAAATCAAAATAGTTTAATTATCACGTACATTTTTTAATTGTTTAATTTTCTAAAATGTTTATTATAAAAACATATGTAAATTAATAATTTCACATTATCTACGGTTACATGTCAATATCAACTTATTTTTAAGATAAAAAATTATGTTACAATATTTACAGTTTAGTGAAAACTCGTGATCATTAAACTATGAACGTTGTAAAATAAAAAATTTATCATAAAAATATATCGGTATCAATTTCTAGTTGTAGAGTATAGAAAGTTTTTAATTTTGATATATTTTGTTGTATTTTTAAATTATAAACAAATAGAAAATAAATAAAAAATAAAGTTACCTGTTAGGAGTTTGTAAGGGATTAGATTTGAACTAAAATCCTAAAGGTATGTATGTATGTATATAGGTCAAACTTCCTCCATTATGAATGAATCGTAAAAGCATCAAGAGCATTCTCCATAATTATCAATGTAGATTACATAAATACATGGATTATAAAGTATATGAAGGTGACAATAAAGGATTATAATGGTTGTTTACGTCAGATGTTAAGGTAACATATGAATCTATGGAGTGTTATATAATAGAGTAAATATTTAAGCATGAGTGTGTTATTTTGTTATCCATTGATGATTAAGCAAGGGTAATAAAAATGTAAGCATAGGTGGGGAAATGTGGTTGATGAATGGTTTCAAAGGTAAACAATAAGTGCAAATATATATGAGCATGGTGGTTGTAGTTGTGTGGGCTTAATCGCAAGAACTCATAATATAAAAGGGTTTGATGCATGTAATTGATAAGTTTGTAGAATCAAAGTATCATGATGGCAGTTAGGGGACCCCAGGTAGTTCTAAACATGAAGTATGAATGGGCAATGAGGTGTGAGAGGTGTCAAGTTTATGAGGTAATTATATATAAATAAAATATATTGTACATCTTGGTGATTCTAGGGTTTTATGCATCTAAGAATTCAAAAGAACCGAGATATTCTTTTATCCTTTGGATCTTAACCACTAGGATTTTAGGAAATGTTTTGCATTGTGATTTTTTATTTATTAATGCTTGATTGCAAAAATTTATGCATAGAACGTTAAGCACCCATGGTCAATCACTATTAGAGAAATAGGATGGGGAAACAATCAACACACTGCATATAAGAAAGCCCTAGTGTAAGTGGTGTGTATATTTCCTACCATTAAAATGTATATTCGCTACTAGAAGATAGGCCTTTAATGACACACATTAGTGTACCAAGCAATGATATGAGCTTATGTTTATGAGTAGATTATCTAATTCCGTTCAAATATATGATCTATTTGTCAATTCATGATTTGTGGTGAGATTTCATTGTGTTTGATTCAAGTGTAGCTACTTGTGGTGATTCAAATATTTTCAAGACCCTAATTTTTATACATCAAGTTCATAGTTCAAAACAAAGATACGAGTCTGATGTTAAGTATATATTATTCTTTTCAATTAAAATCCATGATCTATTTTGAAATCCATGTCCCATGGTAAGGCTTTATGTACTTTGGTGCATCCTAGCATCAATGGTGATTTAATGATATCTCAATCCTGAATGATCATTAATTGTTTTCTCAAGCATTAGTATATTTTTATGTTTTTATTCTTATGTCTAGCCTTGTTATTTAATCATCAAATGATGATTTGTGTTGTTATCCATGTATTTAAGTGTTATAATTATAATTGTTTTGGTTAAAAATTGATCAAATGTAACTCAACCAAATTGTATGAGAGGTTGTGGTGTTAGGATAATGTAATTGTAGAACAGTAATCAAAATGAGACAAGTGAGTTACAAGGAAAACCCTT